GCACTGCCTTTTATTGCGTGGACTTACGTCAGATGAAAGGTGGGGTTTTTTTTGTTGTTTTTTTTTTGTTGTTATTGTTGTTGTTGTTGTTGTTGTTGTTGTTTGAGACAGGGCCTGGCTCCATCACCCAGGCTGTAGTGCAGTTGTGTGATCTAGGCTCACTGCAACTTCTGCCTTTAAGGCTCAAGCAATCCTCCCTCCTCAGCCTCCAGAGTAGCAAAGACTACAGGCAGGCAACCAAGCCCAGCTCAGTTTTGTAATTTTGGTAAACACCAGATTTTGCCATGTCGCCCAGGCTGGCCTTAAACTCCTGGAATCAAGCAATCCTCCTGCCTTGGACTCCCAATATTCTATGATTATAGGTGTGAGCAACCAAGCCCAAGCAAAAAGAAATGAATCGTAATCACAAAAGTTTAGACTGGGCACGATGGCTCCCACCTCTAATCCCAGCACTTAGGGAAGATGAGGCAGGCAGATCATGAGGTCAAGAGATTGAGACCATCATGGCTAACATGGTGAAACCCCTTCTCTACTAAAATCACAAAAATTAGCTGGGCATGGTGGCCTGTGCCTGTAATCCCAGCTACTCGGGAGACTGAGGCAGGAGAATCACTTGAACCCAGGAGACAGATGTTGCAGTGAGGCAAGATTGTCCCACTTCACTACAGCCTGGCAACAGAGTGAGACACCATCTCAAAAAAAAAAATATTCTTTTTTCTTAAGTCACTGTTTGTGAATTCTTCTACCAAATAGAAAGAGGAGAAAGAAGAAGTTTGCCTGTATTTCTCACAGGGAAGGGAAGGAGTACAGTGTGACATCAAAATGAAAGGGTGCTGGAGCTTCAGCCCCTTCTTGCTCTCCAGGATCCCCACAGTGATCAGTTCCCAGAACCCTGGTTTATTCATGTAAATCACACTTATTTTTCTCAGTGGCAACTATTGACTAAGCTCCCCTCTAGGTTCAAATCATTCTATTTGATTAAAACACAGAGAGTCCCTACTCTCAAGGAAGTTACACAACAGTACAGGAGACAGACAGACAATAACCCACTAAGCACTTAACAAAGAAGAAAATGTTAGAAAAAAGACATCACATTTGTGAAAAAGAGAGAAATGGATTCACCCAACTTTAGTTCATATGTTTCGGGAGCTCTACCTGAGCTCATTTGCATTTTCATTCATTTTGCACTTCATCATTTTAAAAGTTCTATATGTCTGTGATGGCATGTGTTGAAGAACACAAGGAACTATTAAATCACTCCTTCTTCTGAGGTTTCAGTAGCAAGTTGGACTGGGGTTGCCAAATAAAATACAGGTTCCTGGCTAAATCTGAATTTCAGATACACAAACATAATTTATTGGCAATCCAGATTTACCGGGGCATCCTCTGGTTTTATTTGCCAAACCTGTCAACCCTAAGTGGGACATATGAGCATGATTACAGGGCTAACCATGTAAGATACAGTGACAGCAACTTCACACATGTTTATTTTTTAACTTTATCTCTGTAAAGAAAGTGCTTAGATAATTTAAGAATGGTAAGATACACACTGTTTGATCCAGGATGCATTCCTCTCTGCCATCATATCTAAAGGGCAAAGGGAGTTTTGTGAAGAAGGTCTTACTCAAAGTCTGGGGACCTGCTCATTTTTTTGTAAACTGTCTGTATGAGAATGTCATTTTCTTGGTTTCCCCCTTTCTGTGGGGACTTGACTACAAAAGAAGAGTTCTACCTCCGGCCAAGGCTGGTAATTTGAATCCTACTAATGTTGTTGGGATTGGGAGACTGAAATAAACAAGTTAGTTGGGGGATTAAACAAGAATAAAATAGCTGTGGTTGTCATTCATTACTACAGATAATTAGTGGACCAGTGGCAGAGAAACTAAGAAAAAAGGTGATATGAAAGATAAATGATATGATTTGGTGACTGATTGGTAAGGCAAGGAAATCCATAAATCTTGGTCCTCAACAAGTTCATTTTCTGGAAACAGTATTGTATTGGAATCAGAATCCTATAAATCATTCGTTTTATGTAGGACCAAGATTTTCAATGGATATTTTTCCATGTAATTCTCAGCTGCTCCATAACTAATAGTGGCTTGTTCAACACAGATTTTTTCAGATGGTTCACATCCATGGTTCTTACCCAGGCATAGTTCGCCACCACTCCCCTCTCTCCCATCACCCTTGGGGAATGTGTGGCAATGTTTGGAACAATTTTTGGTTGTCACAACAGGGATTACACCTGATATTTAATGAGTAGAAACCAGGGACACTTCTAGAGAACCTGCCATGTTCACAACAGCCTCTGTCACCAACAAAGAATTATCTGGTCAAAAATGTCAATAGTTCTGAGGCTGAGAACGCTGGTTCACACTGTGCTCTTCCTGAAAATTCTAGACTCACGTCTTCTATACACTCACCACCTCCATTCAGTTCTTTATGGTTTATTTTTACTTGTTTCATTACAAAAAAACTAGACAGTTCCATAAATTCAAGCACTTTCTTGTTGAATCCATTTAGTCAGTGCAAGTTCAATACCTTCATGTTTATTTTTTGCCTTATGCAGTATTTTTCACCATTTTCATGAGTTGTTGGTTATCACTATCTCTATTAACTTTTCACAACTTGCCCCCTTCTAAGTCACAAACAGTGATGCTGCTGCAATTACTTTTCACTAAGATGCCTCAGACTTCCGTAGTGATTCTACATTTAATATTATTCACAACGTAAGTCTCCTTGTTTGGCACAAGGTCGTCACTAAGCGTTCACAGGATGAACACGGTGGGGGCTGTTGAAAAAATGGGTGAAGCCTATGGGATGAGAGAAGTGACAGAGAGTGTGTTTGGGGTGGAGGCTCCCAGGAGGAGGCGGCGCGGGCTGCGGTGCTGGGCGGATCCTCCTCCAGCTCCTGCTTGGAGGTCTCCAGAACAGGCTAGAGGCAGGGAGGGGGGCCCAAAGACTTGGGATCAGAGGAGGTTTTCCCTCCTAGTCCACCAGTCCTGTCCGCCTCAGGAAGATGGAGGATGAGTCCCTGGGCTGCGGGTGGTGGGAGTTGAGGGTGGGGCCTGTCAAGGTTCCCAGAGCTCGCTCTGCGCCCCCACCTCCCCCGGGAGCCCTGGATGACGGCGTCGCTGTCGGTGTCTTTCCCGGAGGCCGCCCCGTGACCGGATCGTTCGTGTCCCCACAGCACGTTTCTTGAGGCAGTTTAAGCCTGGGTGTCATTTCCTCAACGAGATGGAGCGGGTGCGGTTCCTGGTCAGACACGTCTATAACCAGGAGGAGTATGTGCGCTTCGACAGCGACGTGGGGGAGTTCCGGAAGGCGACAGAGCTGGGGCGGCCTAGCGCAGAGTACTGCAGCAGCCGGAAGGACTACATGGAGGAGACGCGGGCGCAGTGGACACCTACTGCAAACACAGCTACCGGATTGGTGAGAGCTTCACAGAGCAGCGGCGGGGCGGGGCCTCCCTGTGAGCTGCCAATCAGAGACAGAGAGAGAGCGCGAGACTGAGAGACTGAGAGATGAGAGGGAGACAGAGAGAGATGCACAGAGAGAGAGACTCAGAGAGACACTCAGAGAGAGAGGGCGCCATCTGTGAGCGTTTAGAATCCTCTCAATCCTGAGCACGGAGCTCTGAGGGCACAGGTGTGTGTGTAGAGAGTGGATTTGTGTGTGAGGCTGTTGTGGGAGGGGAGGCAGGAGGGGGCTTCTTCCTATCCTGGAGGTCTCTGTGGGGAGGTGACATGGGAAGTGGCTGCAGGGGCTGGAGAGGGAGGAGACCTCGATTGTCCTGGGTCCTTAGAGATGCAGGAAGGGAAGTGTGAGGTGTGTGTGGCTGGGGTGAGGGTTTAGGGGAGGAGAGCTGAGGGGTGTGGAAGGTTTGGGATAGTGTGAGGAGGCCAGTTCCAGACCGTCCCTGCACACACCCTTCATGCAGCCTCTGAAATCAAAGTGTGCGGTGTTTGTTTGCAAAAGCATTAGATGAATTTCTAGGGGAACTGAGGCGACCTCTGAGGCACCTCTGAATCTTCTTTAGGTCTAAATTTCTTGCAATTTTCTTTTGTTTTCTTAATGTGTATATTTTTACATAGTTGAAATGACTGTGAAAGTAACTTTAATTGAAGTTTTAAGACACTGTTACTATTTAATTATAATGCTAATACTTTTCTAGTAGTTATATATTATTCTTTTATATATAATAGTTGTGACTCAGCTCACTTCACTTTCCCCTTTATTATGACATTCACCAAAAAGTGAAAATGTATGTTTCTGATTAATTTTTAATTTATACTTTTTTGATTTGTAATGCTTTTGAATTATTTTGACCTCTTTATTAGCCAGTTATAATATCTGCTCTAAGAATTCACTATTGTATTTGGTAGGTAATGAACAATGATCTTTTGTCTGTTATCTCTAGAGCTTAGCATTTTTCCCAGTGATTTTGTGGGTTCTTTGTACTGTAAGATTATTAACACTTTATTGACATTAGATTTTACATTTTCTCCAGTTTGTGATCTGTATGTTGATTTTGAAAATTATTTTCCATGTTAAGAATTTGAACATTTTTATTTAATAAACTACATTGCAAAATTTTTATTAATGATTTACAATCCATCTTAAATCTACTGTTTTGTCATATTGTTGTCTCCAGGTTTCTGTGGGAAGAGATGGGCAAAGGCAGACCTGTGTTACTTATAGTTAAATGATTACAAGCTTGCTTTGCCTTTTACACACTGAGATTTGTGCCACAGATCAAATCAAAACTATGGTGCAGTAAAATAAAAGCAGAGATCAAGTGTTAACAGGAGGCCTATGGTAAAGGCCACCTGAGAGCCCCCTACAACCACGAACACTGAGGTGTGACAGGCTGCAGAGCAGAAAAGAAAAACTGCTTTGGTCCCAGGACTCTTCCCAACCTAGAGTTTGTGTGAGGATCTCCAAAGACTCTGGGAAGGAAATACAACCCCTGCTCATAAGACTTGGGATTGTCTTTGTAGATGGGACCTGGTAAGGCCAGAAGGTCTTGCAGGGCAGAGACACCAGAACGCCACAGGCTCTGCCTGTGTTCTCAGAATATGGAGCAATTCTGATTGCTCTGTGTCCACAATGCTCGAGAGACAAAAGTCTCTTGATGCATGTGTGTGTTAAGATCTTATGGTGCCCTATCCCCTGCACCTCTCTTGCCAAAACACCTGGATAGAAAATGGGTGGTAAAGTCACAGTGTCCTTAGTTAGCATTTCTTAGGAAAACCGAGTTTGCTATTGAATGCTGCAGACACTTGCTCTTCCCTTGGCTATCTTCCTCCTCAACTCCCTCCGACAGCCTGCAAGTTTAACAAGATGATTTATCCAATAAAAGCCTTTTGAGCCCAGAGCCCAGAGCTCCTTGCCAAAGCCGATCACCCCTGGACCCATGCTTTCAAATTCTATTCTTGTGTCTTTGACTTTATTCCTTTACTCACTCCCTCATCACTGCCAGGAGATGGCACAGCTATGTACAGGGCTGGGCTGGTTCCCAACAGGTTTCTCCTTCCTTCTTAAAAAAAAAAAAAAAATGTATTTATTGAGAGTCTGCAAGTGTTAGGGATTTTCCTAGGCATAAGAACCCCAAGTAATGAGTCCCAGACCCTGACTTGATCCAAGTGTCATGCTGGAAAGAAAATTCATTTTACAATGGTAGGTCTAATGATAGTTATGCTTGTTTTGCATTGGCCATGCATTGATCAGCTAAATTGTATACAGAAGAACTTTCAAAACTGAAATGACTTTTCTTAATCCTTCTTTCTATTTTAAGACTCATGCTTTTCTAGGAAATTAAAGATTTAGAGAATCGGTTCTGTCTATCTAACTTTCCCAGGGCAGAACCATGTCTGTGGTGTTCTAAGGTGTGAGTGTATGGTGGTAGGATTCCTAAAACTTCATACTTGGTTTCCTCATGTAACTTACTCTATCCCTTTATCTATCCACATTGCTTTAAATCATATTTTTCTCTCCAGCTGTACAAGGATGATAAATAGGTGCTAAGTGGATCACCCAGGTGTGATGAGCCCTCTCACAGTGGAATGGAATGAGAACCTTTCTGACCTCATAAATTGAAGGCTATCTTCAGTCATTCTTTTATACATTTTACATGCATGAATCCTTATATAACCCCAAGAAATAAATTAGTATAATTATCCCCCATTATAGGTGAGAAAGTTGAGACACAGAAGAATCAAAAAGATCAACCAGTAAAAGGCGGACCTTGGATTTCAACTAGACGACCTGGCTCAGAAATCAGTTTTAATTAATACCATCTGTATTTTCAAAGATGTGTAAACACTTTGACAATGCATGCCAATTTTAAACTATGAAGAAACAAACACCATTTTTTACAACATCTCTCAAACCTTGTCCCCAGTATAAATATTAAAATCCAGGCTGCTGACACTGTGAGGCCACATGGCCAGCTGTGCTGGAGGCCTGGTCAAGGCCAAAGCCTGGGTTTACAGAGAAGCAGACAAACAGCCCAGCAAGGAAACTTACTCTATCTTCCTGACTCGTTCCCTCTACCTTTTTTTCTCCTAGTGGAGCCTAAGGTGACTGTGTATCCTGCAAAGACCCAGCCCCTGCAGCACCACAACCTCCTGATCTGCTCTGTGAGTGGGTTCTATCCAGGCAGCATTGAAGTCAGGTGGTTCCGGAATGACCAGGAAGAGAGGCTGAGGTGGTGTTCACAGGCTTGATCCAGAATGGAGACTGGACCTTCCAGACCCTGGTGATGCTGGAAACAGTTCCTCAGAGTGGAGAGGCTTACATCTGCCAAGTGGAGCACCCAAGCGTAATGAGCCCTCTCACAGTGCAATGGAGTGAGCAGCTTTCTGACTTCATGAATTTCTCATCCACCAAGGAGAGGACTCTGTTAATCCCCGAGTGTCAGGATTCTCCTCTCCCACATTCTATTTTCATTTGCTCCATGTTCTCATCTCCATCAGCACAGGTCACTGGAGGAAGCCCTTTAATAGTTTCTAGGACATACCTAGTAGCCCCTGGAAAAGCAGTCATGCCTACCAGGAAGGAGAGGCTGTTCCTCTTTTAACCCCACCCCCATAATGTCACAGGTCAGAGTCACCTGCTCTCCCTGGGCTCCAGGCCCTTCCTCTGGATATGAGACTATGTTTCTGGTGCTGTTGCTCTGAGTTGCTTGTTGAACTGAGAAGAGGAGAACTGCAGGGGCCTTCCTGACATGAGGGGAGTCCAGTCTCAGCTCTACCTTTTATGAGCTCTGTCACTCTAGACAAAGTACTTAACCTCATTGAGTCTCAGATGTTCTTTGATCAGATGTTGAAGTATTGTGTCACATGAAGGCTATAATATTTGAATGAGTTTGATGCCTGAGCCTTGTAACTGTTCCATGTGGCTTGAAAACCTTTTTTTCTCCAGAAATGGCCAGTTATTTTATCTTTTGCAGGGCAGCCATCTTCCCCATTTTCAAAGATCTGAATCTCAGGGTCTCAATTAAGAAGTTCAATTTGGGATCAAAATCACTAAACCTGGCTTCCTGTCTCAGGAGCACAGTCTGAATCTGCACAGAGCAAGATGCTGAGCGGAGTCGGGGGCTTTGTTCTGGGCCTGCTCTTCCTTGGCACAGGGCTGTTCATCTACTTCAGGAATCAGAAAGGTGAGGAGCCTTTGATAGCTGGCTTTCTCCATAGCCATTTCCGGAGGAGAAAGGAGAAAATATGCTTTGCTAAGGTTAGTTCTCAGTATATGAGTGGGCCTGTATAAAGCCTTTCTTTCTCCAAATGATCTCCAATGTCCTGCAAATCCAGAAATTCATAAGTGCATGTTTTCTACGTCACAGCATGATAGCTAGTGGCCTGCAGAGATAAGAGAAAGGTTAACGAGTAGGGTCCTTTGGATTGAGATCCTGGAATAAGTTAAAGAAGAGCCACTAAGGCTAATGCAGTTACACTGGATCCTGTGACAGACACTTCATGCTTCATGGATCACATGGTCTGTTTCTGCTCCTCTCTGCCCTGGTTGGTGTGGGTTGTGGGGTTAGAGAAATCTCAGGTGGGAGGTCTGGGGCTGGGATGTTGTGTTGGAGAACAGATTTACTTCCATATCTTTTAAGTGTATATCTTTTCCTCTTTTTCCTAGGACACTCTGGACTTCAGCCAACAGGTAATACTTTCTAATCCCCTTTTAGAAACAGATTCAGTGTCCCTAGAATGATGTTAGTGGTGATAAGGCATGAGACAGAAATCATAGACAAGACTTTGGATCCAAATTTCTGATCAGACAAGTTACACCAAAACTCCTCCTCTCCACTTAGAAAAGACCTGTGCTCTGCAGGTATTGGCTCAGGGAGACTTAGGAACTTGTTTTTCTTCTTCCTGCTGTGCTCTCATCTGAGTCCTTAAAAGAGGGAAAAAGTCGCTGTTAGTAGAGCCAGGTCTGAACACAACACTATCCTCTGTCTTTTGCAGGACTCTTGAGCTGAAGTGAAGATGACCACATTCAAGGAAGAACCTTCTGCCCCAGCTTTGCAGGATTAAAAACTTTCCCACTTGGCTCTTATTCTTCCACAAGAGAGAGCTTTCTCAGGACCTGGTTGCTATTGGTTCAGCAACTCAGCAGAAAATGACTCCTTTGTGGCTTCCTGAACTCCTGCCCTTGTCCTGAAGTCCCAGCATTGATGGCAGTGCCTCATCTTCAATTTTTATGCTCCCCTTTACCTAACCCTTCATGCCTCCCCTGCATCTGTACTCACCCTGTGCCACAAACACATTACATTATTACATTTTTCTCAAACATGGAGTTAAAGTGCATCCAGTCCATCAGGCTCCAAGGAAAAATAATAAAAAGAAAAGAAAAAGGGAAGATTATTTTCCAATAGAATAATGGTTTCTATATATATATCATAAGTATGGGAGGTAATGGATATGTTAAATAGCTTGATTTAGACATTCCACAGTATAGGTATATATCAAAACTTCATGCTCTACAACATAAATATACTATAGAATTTTTACTTGTTAATTGAAAAAGTAAACCTAACATTTAAAAAGGCAATGCTGGGATTACAGGTATGAGCCACCGCACCAGGCCAACAGATAATATTTCTAATACTATCATTATTATTATGTCTGAAGACAATCTGACTTTCTAAACCCCTGTGCGTTTCTGGTGGAAGTTTATGATTATACAAATACCTGGAAATCTGGTAATTTCACAAAAATTTTAACATATGTTTGCCATATGACCCAGCAATTTCACTCCTTAGAACCTACCTAAGTGACATAAAAACATATGTCCTCAAAAAGATTTGTGTTCAAGTATTCAGAACAGACTTAGCCATAGTTGACCCGAACTGAAAACAATCCAAATATCCCTCCACTAGTAAACGGATAAACAAAATGGCACTACATACATGCAAGGCAATATCATTCAACAGTAAAAGGGAACAAAAATAGACTTATCTGGCAGGGGAGATACCATTAACCTGAGGGTAGTTTTCCCAAGGCAAGTTTCAACCCTTGTACTCTAGATGATGAGAGGTTACTTAATGGGTACAATGCATGTGATTGGGGTGATGGATACTGTAGAAACACTGACTTCACCACTATGCAATCTATGCATGTAACAAAACTGCACTTGTACCTTATAAATTTATGCAAGTGAAAACAAGAAAAAAGAAAAACAAAATGATGATACATACTAAAAAACTGGTGGACTTCAATTAACTAAGTGAAGGAAAGTGGACACAAAAGTTTACATGTTGTATGATTTCATTTACTTCAAATATCTAGAAGAGGTAAATTTATAGATGCAAATGGAGATCTTTGGGTGCCTACGGCTCAGGGTTTTGCTGGAAATTAGCTATAAACAGAGAAATGTTGGACCTGACAAAAATGATATAAAACTGGATTGTGATAATTGCACAAATCTATTAATTTACTAAAATCATTAAATTTTACATGTAAAATCAGTGAATTTTTACATACTAGTATGAATTTTACATACGAGTATGTAGTATGTAAATTATGCTTTAGTAAACATGTTAAAATAATTTTTATTTTTGACAAATAAGACTTTGTAAGCAAGACAAAATCCAGAACACACAAATGAAAACAATTTTGAAGAAAATTACTGATTTCTTTGCATGAAGAAAATAACAAAATTAAAAGAAGTATATGAAGCCCAGGAAAAATTTTGATTACATAAGACAGACAATGGGCTAACTTTTCTATGAAAAATTGTTAACTAAGCAATAAATGTGTTAATGGAAATGGCATAGAAAATTGGGCAAAGGATATAGACTACCTGTTCTAATAGTCGATAAATATAAATATTTGCTCAAACTCACCAATGAAAAGAAAAATCCAAATACAAACAGCAATGTAATAAACTATTTCTCTCCCCTCAAAAAACTGGCAAATTTTTAATTGTTTTAAAATCAAGGATTTAGAAAATTCTATTGAAATGGAATTCCAATAGAATTCTCTCATATTATTAAGATTGTGGGCAGAGAGGATCCAAGATGGCAGAATAGGAACAGCTCTGGAGGGAGAAGAATGCAGAGGGTGAGTGAACACCACATTTCCAAATGAATTATTACTGCCCACAGACCAGGAGATTCCCGGGCTGAAAAGTGCCATGAGTTTCCAGGATGGCTGTTTCAGCTGGCACAGCAGGTCTCTGCACAAAAACTCACACAAATCTCAGCGGTCATTTCAACTGGCACCTGGAACCCCTGGGAGACAGAGCTGCCCATTCAACTGAAAAACAGGGGCTGAAACAGGGAGCCAGGTGATCTGGCTCAGTGGGTCCCACCCCCACAAAGACCAGCAATCTGAAAGGGATGGCCCAGTTCTGTTGGGGGATGGTAATCCATCATTACCGAGATGGATTGCTGGTCCACCTCTGAAAAGAATGTATAAATGGGCTAAATGCCCTAATCAAAAGACACAGGCTGGCACATTGGATAAAAAGTCAAAACCTATTTGTGTGCTGTATCCAGGAAACCCATCTCACATGCAAAGACACACATAGGCTCAAAATAAAGGGATGGAGGGAGATTAACCAAGCAAATGGAGAGCAAAAAAAAGCAGGAGTTGCAATCCTAGTCTCTGATAAAACAGACTTTAAACCAACAAAGATCAAAAGAGACAAAGAAGGGCATTACATAATGGTAAAAGGATCAATGCAACAAGAAGAGTTAATTATCCTAAATATAAATGCACCCAATACAGGAGCACCTAGATACATAAATCAAGTTCTGAAAGACCTACAAAGAGACTTAGATTCCCACAAAATAATAGTGGGAGACCTTAACACTCCACTGTCAATATTAGACAGATCAAAGACAGAAAATTAACAAGAATATCCAGGACTTGAATTCAGATCTGGACGAAGCAAATCTAATAGAAATTTAAAGAACTATCCACTCCAAATCCACGGAATATACATTCTTTGCAGCACTACATCACACCTACTCTAAAATTGACCAGTAATTGGAAGTAAATCACTCCTCAGCAAATGCAAAAGAACAGAAATCATAACAAACAGTCTCTCAGACCACAGAGCAATCAAATTACAACTCAGGATTAAGAAATTAACTCAGAACCACACAACTTCATAAAAACTGAACAACTAGCTGTTGAATGTTGAGTGGATAAATAGTGAAATGAAGGCAGAAATAAAGTTGTTCTTCGAAACCAGTGACAACGAAGACACAACATACCAGAATCTCTGGGACACATTTAAAGCACTGTCCAGAGGTAAATTTATAGCAATAAATGCCCACATGAGAAGCAAGGAAAAATCTAAAATAGACACCTTATCCTCAAAATTGAAAGAGCTAAAGGAACAAGATTTAAAAAAAAAAAACTCAAAAGCTAGCAGAAGACAAGAAATAAATAAGATCAGAGCAGAACTGAAGGAGATAGAAAAAACCTCAAAAAAATCAATAAATCCTGGAGCTGGTTTTTTGAAAAGATCAACAAAATAGACCACTAGCCAGATTTATAAAAAAGAAAAGAGAATAATCAAATAGATGCAATAAAAAATGATAAAGAGGATATCACCACTGATTCCACACAAATACAAACGACTATCAGAGATTACTACAAACAGTCCTATGCACACAAACCAGTAAACCTGGAAGAAATAGATAAATTCCTGGACACTTGCACCCTCCCAAGCCTAAACCAGGAAGAAGTCGAAACCCTGAGTCTACCAGACATACAAAGAGGGGATTGTACCATTCCTTCTGAAACTATTCCAAACAATCCAAAAAGAGGGAATCCTTCCCAAATCATTTTATGAAACCAACATCATCCTAATAGCAAAACCTGGAAGAGACTCAATAAGAAAACAAAACTTCAGGCCAATATCCAGGATGAACATAGATGCAAAAATCTTCAATAAAATACTGGCAAACCAATTGCAACAGCACATCAAAAAGATTATCCATCACGATCAAGTAGGCTTCATCCTGGGGATGCAAGGCTGGTTCAACATATGCAAGTCTATAAACATAATCCACCACATAACAGAACCAAAAACAAAAACCACATGATTATCTCAATAGATACAGAGAAGGCCTTTGACAAAATTCAACAGCACTTTATGCTAAAAATTTTCAATAAACTAGGTATTGATGGAACGTATCTCAAAATAATAAAAGTTATTTATGACAAACCACAGCCAATATCATACTGAATGGGCAAAAACTAGAAGCATTCCCTTTGAAAACTGGCACTAGACAAGGATGCCCTTTCTCACCACTCCTATTCAATATAGTATTGGAAGTTCTAGCCAGAGCAATCAGGCAAGAAAAAGAAATAAAGAGTATTCAGTTAGGAAAAGAGGAAATCAAATTGTCTCTATTTGCAGATGACAAGATTGTATAATTAGAAGACCCCATCGTCCCAGCCCAAAATCTCCTGAAACTGATAAGCAACTTCAGCAAAGTCTCAGGATATAAAATCAAGTACAAAAATCATAAGCATTCCTATACACCAATAACAGACTTAAAGGGAGCCAAATCAAGAACAAAATCCCATTCAAAATTGCTACAAAGAGAATAAAATACCTAGGAATACAACTAAAAAAGGGTGTAAAGGACCTCTTCAAGGAGAACTACAAACCACTGTTCAAGGAAATAAGAGAGAACACAAAAGATGGAAAAACATTCCATGCTCATGGTTAGGAAGAATCAATCTTGTAAAAATGGCCATACTATTAAAAGTAATTTATATATTCAATACTATCCCCATCAAGCTATCAATGATCCTCTTCACAGAACTGGGAAAAAACTGCCTTAAACTTCATATGGAACCAAAAGAGAGCCCACATAGCCAAGACAATTCTAAGCAAAAAGAACAAACTGAAGGTGTCACACTACCTGACTTCAAACTATACTACAAGCCTCTAGTAATCAAAACAACCTGGTACTGGTACCAAAACAGAGATACAGACCAATGGAACAGAACAGAGGCCTCAGAGGCAACCCCACACATCTACAACCATCCGATCTTTGATAAACCTGACAAAAACAAGCAATGGGGAAAGGATTCCCTGTTTAATAAATGGTGTTGGGAAAACTCGCTAGCCATGTGCAGAAGGCAGAAACTAGACCCCTTTCTGACATCTTACACTAAAATTAACTCCAGATGGATTAAAGACTTAAACATAAGGCCAAACACCATAAAAATCCTAGAAGAAACCCTAGGCAAAACCATTCAGGACATAGGCATAGGCAAAGACTTCATGACTAAAACACCAAAAGCATTGGCAACAAAAGCCAATATAGACAAATG